TGTGGTGCTGTTTGTACAAATTGTTTTGAGAAATGCAAATATTTCTTTGCAAATATTAAGGACGACTCGAGAAATGCACCAAAGCGAGAAAAACTGAGAAAAACTAAAAATATCTAACTTTTATCACCTATGTGAAAAACTTATTGCCCCTTTAAACTTAAAATCTGTTTGTGCCACCAAGAACCGCAAACAAAGTCTTCTGATAACTAGAGATCAGTGTTTTACAGCACTGTGCTGGACATATCTTTTGTACATGAATTATGCTGAATTATTGATCTTGCTTTCATTTCCATCTGGAAGAGAATTTCATTGCATTTTATCTACACTACATGTTTGCTGCGCTTGCATCATAGGGGAAAAAATGTAAGCTGGTTGAATCCATGCTTGACAAGCTCCTGTCTCAACATCTCCACAAGCCTCTTCCTTTGTGGCTGGTGATGTTGTTCTGGATCACCATGTCAACAATGCTTCTGTTCCATTGTTTCTGAAACATGTTTGGACATTTACAGTAAATAACAGAAGTTGTCCCAGCAGGACTAAAAATGTGTACTATCAACAATCCTAGCACAACACTTTATAAGTGTTTTGACATAGTAACTCCCTTCTAAAGGAGAAGCCATGATTTTTGACATGGTCAATTAGGGTAACTCTGATTTCATCTGAAATTCATCTGCACCTTCTACCTCTCTTTCCACCCTGTTGCCCACTTCGTCTCTGCCCATGTCTTCTTACAGTCTTTCCACTACACCAATGCCCTCCTCTCTACTCTAATCTCTTCTTCCTTTCCTTCTCCTCTCCTTTTTTCTCCCATCTTCCTCTCTGCTCACCTCTATTTAGCTGTTATACTCTTTATCTTCTCTCTCATTACACCCCTTTCTCTACCCACTCCACTGCCTTATAGATTTACACCTCTTTCTTTATCCCCACCCGTTTTTATTTTTATTTATATTTTATTATTATTATTATTGTGCATTTTCGTTCTTGCTCTTTGTATACTTTCCTTTTTACAGTTTTTTTTACAATCATTTTTGCACTAATAACAGAACCATCATGTCATTTTTCAAACCTCTAGACAAATAATTCACAACCGATGATCAAAATGGACATTTTTCAAAACACTTAACATTTTTTTCCAAATGCTTGGATACAATACACATAAACCAAAGATCTTTTGTTCATTAAACTAAAATCACCGGTTTAAAATGACACAACTTAACATCAAAGTATTACTATTTCAAAATGCAACTCACGCATTACATCTGAATTGAGTGTCTATTCATTTCATTACAATGATCTAACTATCAATTGATACAACTGCTCAAAATGCTAAGTAACTGTTGCATTACTCTATATG